GGCAGGCGCGGCTCGACCTCGGGTCTCTGCAACACCCGGGCGCAGTCACTTTCTGTTGCGGACTAACGTCTCAGTCCCGTGCTGAACCGCCCTTAGCAAAGAGAAAGGAAAGAGGGATCGGGGCCCCTGCCAAGACACTGTTGCGCTTTGCGCAACAAGGGGACAGCGCTTCCTCCCGGAGCAACTGGCTTCGCTGCTGAGGCCGATTTTAGGGTAAAACGCCCGAGAAGGCTGGTTCTGTAATCGTCCCTGTGCTGATACTGGGAGCACCACACTGAAAAACCAAGTTCCGTTTTCTCTAAGCGAAATATCCTCGAAAACGGACAACCATAGCTTCAACTTCCCCTGAAACCTCATACCCGGGCGCTGCTGAAGGGACATAGGATGGTTCCTGAGATGATTTCGGAATTTCATTTACAGTTCTTTGGGGATGACTGCCCTGCTTTCTTTCTTCTTCTCTTTCTTTTTCAACAACTGAGGCTGAAATCGTTTTATTTATTTATTTATACCGGGGATCGAACTTGGATCCTTTGGCTGGCAAGGCAGGCCGCGGAACCCCTGAGCTAAATCCCCGCTGCCCTGCTTTCTTTACCTGTTTTATTTAAATTGCCAGGTATATATTTTAATGAGTAACTTTTTTTTTGGGGGGGGAAAGCATATGTTCAGTGTATCCACTGTCATCTATAGCAATCACCATGATGTCTACAGGCGCGACCATTGTCCTATCATCCACTGTCTAACCCAAACGGGCACGCCTTGGTAGCACTATTATTCTATGTTGCTTTTTCACTCTCACACACAGTAGATGAAATCCCCCGGAAGACGCTGGAGGAATTACGACAAGGGTAGCGTTGGAATCAGTGGTTGGATTAGTCAACTGATTGCATTCTAGTAACCGACGGGCTGAACTGGATCGGGCAGAGAGAACTGGGACTATCGCACACTTGCTGTCAAAGTAAAATCCCGAAGAAACACATACAACCATCAGAGAGCCAGAAAAAACCTCTTAGAGGGTGTTTTGGTTTTTTTGTTTTGTTGTTGTTGTTGTTGTTGTTGTTGGGGACCTTGCGCTTGCAAAGCAGACAGTGGAACCACTGAGCTAAATCTCCAGCCCCCTCTGTAGAGGTTTTAAGAGCTTGATCTCAGAATGGGAGGAACGTCCTAAGCAAAAAGCAAAGGAAGGCCGATTGAGTAGTGCACATCTGTAATCCCACCTGCTCTGGAAATTAAGGCAGGATCCCAAGATCGAGGCCAGCCTAGGAAAGTTAGATATGGACGCTGTCTCAAAATTAAAAGGACTGGAGGGAGGGTTAGCTTAGTGGTAAAATGCCAGCGCTTCAATTTCCAGTACATAAAAAAAACCTGTAAGAGCAACAACAAACAATAACAATAGCAAAGGGGGGAAAAACATGAAGAAAAAAATGATGTATTTGGATACATAAATATTTAAATTTTATGGAAGTTTTTTTTAAAACCCATAAACAATATGAAAAGGAAAGATGATACCCAAAAAATAAAAATTAGCAAACAACATGAATAGGAAGTTCATGAAAAAAGAGAAAGAAATATAAATGGTCAATAAATGCATCAAAAAAGTTGTCTCACTAGTAGGCAAAATATAAATTAACAGACCAAGATCTAAGTATTTCATCCATTATGGATGAAAGAGCTGAGTGGGCATTTTAACACAGGGGTAGTGGGAATGGAATTTGACGCAATTTTTCATAAAGTAAATCGCATCAAAAATCTCTTCAAACCTTATTTTATAGAGTATGTAATTAGATATTCATATAAAAATTAGTGTAAAGTTTTTGTTGAGGTGTTTTTTATAGTAGCAAAACCAAAACAGCCCAAATGGCTAACAATGAGAAATTAATTAAAAACCTATGATATAGAAACTGGGCGTGGTGGCACACACCTGTAATCCCAGCACTCGGGAGGCTGAGGCAGGAGGATCACTGTGAGTTGGAGACCAGCCTAGGCTACATAGTTAGTTCCAGGTCAGTCTCAACTATATAGTGAGACCCTGTCTCAAAACAAAACAAAACAAAACAAAAAAACCACCTACGATATATCCATGTAATAGAATCCTGAGCAACATTCCATTTGTTTTCGAAAGCAACTGATTGATCTTAAAGTTTTTATAAATGGCAACTTACAAAGCAATAAATATATAATGAGGCCTACATTATTTTCATTTTAAGTATGTATTCATGGTTATATGCACAGAAAGATGCATTAAATATGTTTATATTATATATATAAAATATATATTCCAAAAATATTTAAAATCATTATCTCCAAGTGGATTAAGATAGACTGAATTAAGAATGATTTTCTTTGCACATTTCTGTGTAAAAAATTCTATACTGATTTTCTATTATTTTTGAATAAGAAAATATTTTTAAATATACATTTTTAAAAGCTTTCGTGTAAAAGTGTTATCAACCTAAAATTTAAAAAATGGGAGACTCCCCAGAGAATAACAATACTTATTTAGGAAGAACAGAGTGTGGTCATGGGAATATCTTGGCAACAGCAAACTATGAGCATCTTCAGAGTTGAGGCAAGAAGTCATTAAAACAAAAATGAAGACTATTACAACAGATATTTTGCAACAGTAATTCTTGGTCCAATGATTAATAACAGGAGTGTGATCAGATGCCAGGCACAGTGTGCACGCCTGTAATCCCAGCACTCTGAGAGACTGAGGCACAAGGATTACAAATTCAAAGCCAGCCTGAACCATTTAGCAACTTATCGAGGCTCTGTCCCACCCCCCACCCCCAAACATTTTTTTAAAGGGGCAGGGATGTGAATGCACTGAGTTCAATCCTTAGCACCACATACATACACACAGAGCAGAGTCAGAGCTGGGTGTGGTGGTGCACACCTGCAATCCTAGCACTCTGGGAGGCTGAGACAGGAGGATAACAAGCTGGAGCCCAGCAGAGACTTAGGAAGATCCTGTTTCAAAATAAGAAAAGAAAAAAGAAAGTGTAAAGGCCCTGGGATCAAGCCTCAGTAACACACACACACACACATACACGCACGCACGCAGGCACGAGTGGTGTCAGTCCAAGGTTGAACCTTGCCAGACAGATGTTCTCAAAAGTATCAGTGGCAGAGCTCTTGCCTAGCCTGCACAAGGTCCTGGGTTCTTTCCCCAGCCACAAAATATAACAATATAAATCCACTAAGTGTTCATATAGTAACTATTACATGCAAATCATTATGCTGGGAAATTCAGTCCAAAAGTATGCATTCAGTATCTTCCACTCATGGTCTGATGAGTGAGCAGAGTCATGTATGAACAGAGCCATGTGCTGTGTAAGGTTTTGTTCAACACTGATACGTGATGGTGGAATGGAGACATCACAGTGTGATACATTACTCAAATGCTTATGGTGATCCTGGTGTAAACAAACCTACTGAAGTTTTTTTTTTTGGTTTTTGAGACAGGGTCTCACTATGTAGTTGAGACTGACCTGGAACTCACAATGTAGCTCAGGCTGGTCTCGAACTCAGCGATCCTCCTGCCTCAGCCTCCCGACTGCTGGGATTACAGCCGTGTGTCACCACGCCCCAGCCCTTACTGTACTTGTATTTGTAAAAAAAATAACATGAGTAATTATGTATAGTATGTATTATTTGATAATGATAATAAAGGACTATACTATGGGTTTATACATTTACTATACAACATCATCATTTTAGGGTGTACTCCAACATTTTAAAAAATTACTGTAAAAAGGTATATGTGTGATGCTGGCATCAGCCTCATTCATGTTTACATCTCTTGACTGCAGCGTTTTCTAGTGGCCCTAGAAATATCAGGCTATAGCACATAGCTCAGGTGTGTAGCAGACTCTACTCTCCGAGAGTATTGTTGGTTTGGAGGGGTTTTTTATACTGGGTTTCGAGATCAGGGGTTTGTGCGTGCTAGACAAGTGCTCCACCACTGAACTATCAGTTCTCTTTTATTATAACTTTTTAAAAAGTACTTTTGTATATGTTTAAAACTTTTAAAAGTATAAAGCCTGAAAATGGTACTTATCAAAACCGCACGCTTTAAGGAGAATGTAGCTCAGCAGCAGAGCACTTACCCAGCATGCAATGAAGCTCTGTTTCCATCCTCAGCACCACAAGCAGGGGGGTCAGAATACTGAGTTGCTGCTCTTAAAAAACATATAATCCAGCTTGTGTCGGAGAAGAGAAGTTGGAGAATAGAAGTAGATGAAAAAGCACATTTAAAAAAACCTCAAAATCACAAAAGGGAAGAGAGAGAGATCTACATGGACTCCAGGACATCGTGAATTCCACGTGCTAAATAAGATTTTGTGGGAGGCCATGGATCTCAGCACCTGCACTGGGCCCAAGAGACTAAAACAATACGCAGTTTAGCTACATAACTGAGCTTCGCCTGGTTCTGTCAGTGGGCTGGAGCTGGGGGTCCCCAATGCCGAAATGAGGACCCTAATCCACCCTTCTGTACAGTAAGCTGCAGGCTCCCAGGAAAAGAATTTTCAGGCTGGTTAGTTAGAAGCACTGGAAGGGCTTATCAGGCAGAGAGTTAGGACCCACCCCACAGTGGAAATGGGTGCTGAGAACAATGAGATGTCATCTCCTGGAACGGGAAACATTCATGCTTCCCCTGAAGGGCTAGAAACCCCAGGAGAAGGCGGGCCACCTCGAGAAGGATGCCAGCCCATTTTACAGGTGTAGGCCCAGGGTTGTGTTTTTGTTTTTGTTTTTTTTTTAATCTTTGGATCAGGCTTTTGCTCTTTTCTTTCTCACGTAAGCCAATTTACGGACTTGCAGTATTCCTGAAGAGCTTCGGGTGTGCTAGGTCTCAAAGGGAAGAAGCCTAAATTTAACCAAAGGAATGCTGATATGGATCGCTTGGGTGACTTCAGCTGCCTCCTGGAAGTTTCAGTCTTTTTTCTTTTTAAATAGAATTTTTTGTTATGATTTCCTTGTTTCCCTTCTACCTCTCTTTTATTTCTTCTATTCCACCTCAGTTACTGAAGGCCATGTAGCCAGTTAACCATTTAGGTTATAAACAACTAACTACTTACACTGTAACCACAGACTGATGGACTAAAATGTAGTCAATGAAATTGTTTTCTGCCTGGCCTCCATTTCATTTCCAAATGCCCTCTAATCACTCTGTTGGTAGGAGTTCTTCAATGGCTCTGGTTCTGGAAGCTGCCCTGTTTGGGAATCATGTTGGTTTCATTTTCCCACAAACTACACAATTTAATCAGTCAGAGGAATTTTCCTACTTTCCTACAAGAATAAAACTTGAAAAGATGGAATATGAGTTAGACAGCAAGAAAGGAACTGCTTTGTGAAAGGAAAAGCATAAGGAAAGCGGTGGGCGAGCGGTACTCAACTAGGGGCAATACTGCCACCCTAGACACAATCTGGGAACATCTGGAGATATTTTATTTATTTATTATCTATTTATTTATTGGTTTTTTGAGACAGGGTCTCACTGTGTAGTTGAGACTGACCTGGAACTCGCTATGTAGCCCAGGCTGGTCTCGAACTGACAGCGATCCTCCTGCCTCAGCCTCCCAAGTGCTGGGATTACAGGTGTGTGCCACCACGCCCGGCTTGGAGATATTTTATGTTATCACATCTGGAGTAGGGGCTTTGTTACTGCCATCTAATATATAAAGGACACAAATGCTGCTAAACATTCTACAGTGTATAGGATAGCACATTTCAATAAACAACAACTTGGCCTGAAATGTCAACAGTGCTGCTGTTAAAGATTCCTGAGCTGGACACTGAGACTGTTAGGCAGGTTAAGTTATTTCTCAAGTCCACGCTTTAGGAGATTCATAAATCCCTTAAAGATGGATGCAAACTTTTCAGAATCTGGTTTGGAGAAAGGCTTTGCACCCTTGAATGAATATTTTCCCCTACGGGAAATCAAACCCAGGGCCTTTTTACACTGAGCCATCTCCCCAGTCCTTAGCTGAGGCACTAAGTTGGCCTCAATGAGCTCAGACTTTCTAGCCTCCTGCCCCAGGTTCCCAGTATACATCACCATGCCTGGCTTAATCTGATTCTTAAAGAAGTTAATCGCCAAAAGAGGCTGAAGAACCCATGAAAACCAAGGGTGAAGGGTGGAGCTGAAGTGGAGAATAATTTTCACTCAGAAAATTATCAGGAAGCATTTGGACGTTTGCTGGAACCAGACTATAGTGAAACAATTCGGAAGCCGACTGTTCTTAAAATTGAAGCTGCCTTACTTGCTTATTTTTCCTGTTTTCTAGGAATCTCCTGTTTCTCCGATCACACTGTGAATCCTCCATTTTCCACTCCCCAACCCTTCTGTTCCTCACACCAATTTCCTCATTGTCACACAAATAAGTTTATTACACTTATGCTCACACCTTACCTCTAAACTCCAAATGCTCTTCCTCCTCCTGTCACAGAGCCCTTCCTCCTCCTGTCACAGAGCCCTTCCTCCTCTTCCCCAGTCACTGTGGCCCACTTTCATTCTTAGCTTCTGAGCTTTGCATTTCTCCAGTGTCTGCTCTCTTGCTCTGGATCCAGCGCATTTTCACGAAGAATGCTCTTGATCTCTGGGTAGGTTCTCTCCGCATCCCCAGCCCCAAAGCAAGAGACGACACACCCTCATCCAGCCTTCTTCATTGCCTGGTGAATTTTAATTTGAATGAAAAGTCGATATCACGACTCCCAAGCATTTGTGAACTGCTTGCTGTATATGTTTTGCGGGCCAGCTGGAAAGCAAAAAGCAAAGGAAAGTATTTGAGGTGATGTCAAAAAAACGAATAGATGAGAGGGTCAGAACACCCACTAACTCCGCAGAAACCCATGGTCTCTGTCAAATGTTGAACACCGAACAACCTCGACGATTAGCCAGGCCCCCAAAGCAACCAAGCCACTGCCACTTGGTCCAGACGGTTCCAGTCTAAATAAAGCCGGGCTCAGAAAATCTCCGCCCCCTCCTAGCGCGTCCTGGTCCGCACGATCCCACCCCTTATAAGAACGCAGCCCTATGATTGGCTGTAACGCGCCCTAAAACTGCCCAGTCACAGGCAAGCAGCTAGTTTAGCGTCCCTCCTCGGGCGGTGCGTTTTCCATGACCCCACCTCTTTTAAGGATGCAGCTCTATGATTGGTAGTGACGCTACCTAAAACTGCCCAATCGCGCACGAACAGCTGCTTTGGCGTTTCTGTGCTTGTGGGAGGAACATGGCCGATCGGCTCACGCAGCTGCAAGACGCGGTGAACTCGGTGAGGAATTTGATTCAATTAGTGCTTTCTTTCTTACTCCTGAGGTAAAAAGAAGGAGAGGATGGAGGCTTGAGAGATAAAACTTGGAAATGGGGAGTCAGGGCTTCGGCAGAAAGCGCCCACCCCGAGCGGTGGGAGAAGGGTGCCCCCCGGGGCCGGAGAGCAGGGCACGGGGCCCAGCCTGTCTTCTGACGGCGCTTCTGTCCGCCCCCAGTGCTCCTGGGGTCTCCTGGGGAGGGAGAGGGAAGACAGTTGCGTTTGTTTTTTGTTTTTTGCTTATAAATTTTAACCCGCCAAGGGGATCCCTTACTCCTGATGATCGGATCTCTGTAATCAAGCGTTAACCGAGTAGTTCTTCGCTTGTACTTTGAGGTTGGGGCAGGAGAAATGTGGAGGTGATAAGCTGTTTCACCTTAGTTCAGTCCTTTAGGTCTAGCGACTTGTCTCATCTCTAGACCAAGCCGTAGCTACATCGGTTTGGGGAGAACTGACATCTTTATGATAATGAACGTGGTGATTTTTGTATGTCTTTCTGTTTATTGAAGTCTTCTTTAGATCTTGTAAGCAGCTCCCCTAACTTTGTTCCTTCAGGTTATTTTTCAGGCTTGTTATGCCTGTGCTAAAAGTAATGCAAGCAAACGGTATGTCTGTGAAGTTATTCCCATTCTGAGATAAACAGCTCCCCGTTGGTACTTGTGTTTCTTAGTATCATTCTGACTGTAACTTTGATGTCCAAGCAAGCTGCCTGCCTAATACAAGAAATTGTGCTGCCTGGAAAACCTAAATACCTGGTATTCTGGTGTTTTGTTTTTTGGGGGGAGGGGTGTTTGTTTTTTGGTTTTGGTTTTTTTCTTCTTTTTTTCCTCCCTGGAAGCTAATAACTTGGCCTTCTTCTTAAGATGTCAGTCTCCTTGCATGTGAGATGTGTTAGTCTATTTGTGAAAAACTGATCTATCCTAAGCCAGGCATGGTGGCCCACACCTGTAATCCCAGCACTTGGGAGGCTGAGGTGGTAGGATCGCTATGAATCTGAGGCCAGCCTGGGCTACATAGTGGGTTCAGGGGCAGCTTAGAATACCTGGCAAGACTCTGTCTCAAAACAAACAAACAAAACAAAACTGATCTATCCTATGTAAATAAAATAGGAGCTTTTAAGGCTGAGCACCTAAATGATGATGAATTCACCAAGGTAAAAGTACCTTGCAGTGACTTGTCTGGGCAGCGAACCTCCCCTCAGAGAGATACTCCTTTGAGGTGTAACAAAATCAAATTGTTAGATGCTACTGGATAGAAACGTTATTTGGGGGATAGTTTTGCAAATTCATATGTGTCTTGTAACTAGGACAATAAGAACAAAGTGAATATGGCCTAACTCTAAGGTAAGCATGTTAATAATTGGATTTGAGCGAGAAGCCTTTAGGTTAAGTAGTATGAGTGCCTGTTGTGTATATAAGCACTATCGTGTTTACAAAGAGATACTCCTTAAGGAGGCTGGAAAGATGTCATACTCAAGAGATATTCAAATGATGCAAAAACAGTTTGTGGTTAGGGAGTTACAATGAGTCAAGTGTTTTCAACTCTTAAAGCAGATTGGAATACACAGCTACATGAACTAAAATAGAAGGAATCGTAGCATTTAATCTAATTGTAATTATTAGTCTAGGGCTGGGAATTTAGCTCAAGTGGTTCTGCTGCCGTATAAAGTGGAAGGACCTGATTTTGATCCCTGGTACCACAAAAAAACATCTATCTAGATAGATAGATAGATAGATAGATATCTGTGAATGCAGAAACTATGTTACACTCACTGTACCTTTATACAGTAATTGCCCTGGGGTTGATGAATTGATTTCCAATTACTTATTTAGGATACTGGAGATTGAACCTGGCCTTCACATTGAGCTCTATCCCCAGCTTTTTTTTAAAAAAGTTCTATTTAGAAACAGGGTCTTGCTAAATTGCTCAAACTGGCAATCCTTCTTACCTTATAATCCCAGAACTTGGATTACAGTCATCAGCCACCAGTGCCTGAAGCTACCAGACACTGGCTTCAGCAAATATTTTGAATTAATGAATCTTCAAAGTTTTTTCCAGGACGAGAGAGCCACTGTGTTGAATTTTTTTTTTTTTCTGTCCAAATGACAGCAATGTGATATAAAATATTTCAATTTAAAAATAGAAAAGCTACTAGTAATATGTCTAGATATATAGTAGTATGATCTGTCTATCTATCTATCTATCTATATATATATATAGCTTCTGAGTACTTACTGCATTACAAATAGCAAAACATGAGCAAGCTATTTAGTCATAAACTAATTTATGAATAGGCTGGTAGATCTGAGGAAATAGTAGAATGTGATTGAGTAGAACTCACTTAGATTATTGAAGGCTTTGAAACAGCCTGATAGTTGGGGATATATCTTGAAGATCTTGGTAGAATGAACTCTCTTCTTCTTTTTTTTTTTTTTATGAACTCATTTTTGGAGCAGTGTAAAATAACATGGCGAACTAGAAAATTATAAGTCTATTTAGAAAGGAAGTTGTTGATTTTGAAATTATGGTAGAGAAATGTAGTAGAAATGCTTACTCTCTGGAAGATTTGGGGGGTGGGAATTAGTGAGAAATTGATGGGGAAAATAGGAGTGTTTAGTTTAGAGATAGTAAAGGATTTGGTATTCTCAATCTGCAAAAGTGCTAAAAGAATCCATGTGAGCACCAGGCTCTTTGAGTCTTAAAGAAATATTTTTCTGATTGCTTAAGGTATCTTTTCTCAAAGTCATTTTATCACTGTTTCTTTACACTTGCTTACTGCATTCTTAGAAAAGGAGTCATGTATTTTGTACAAGGTAATTTATTTTTAATGAATCCTGGGGCCATATTTAGGCACTTTCCTGTCAAATTTGCTGTCTGCTACCATTACCCCCACAAAGTATTTACTTGTTGCTTGCAATAAATTTTGTTTTTTATTTCTTATTCTATTATCTTTACAAGAAAAGAAAGATTATTTTGTATGTATTTCTTTCTTAACTGTTTCAACTAGAGTGATACTAAGTAGAACTTCACTGAGATTGACAACAAACTTGGTTTTCTTTGCATTATTAAAATATTTAATTGGGCTGGGGATTTAGCTCAGCGGTTTCACCACCTGCCTTGAAAACACAAGGTCCCAAGTTTGATCCCTGGTACCAAAAAATAATTATTATTTTTTTAAAATCTACATTGGAGTGTGGTTTAGTGGTAGAGCACATGATGAGCTTGTGTAAGGCCCTGGCTTCAGTTCCCAGGACCAAAATAATAATCACAATAATCATGGCTAATAATCACTGGCTTATTTTATACAAAAATACTCCTTTCTATTTTGATTCCCTTGCTCATTGATCATTGTTTTTAAATCCTGTTCCCATCATGTTCCCTTTACTGATAAGATCTTTAAAATTGATAAATGTTTTCTGACCTTGACATGTTTTCTTTGGCCCAAGCTCGCAGATCAGTTCTGCAATGCCATTGGAGTACTGCAGCAGTGTGGTCCTCCTGCCTCGTTCAGTAATATTCAGACAGCAATTAACAAAGACCAGCCAGCTAACCCTACAGAAGGTAAATAAGTTTTCTTAACTTCTTGAGGTTTTATTCTCACATTCTTAATAACCCTTTATAAATAGACATATTGAGAAACAACTTATGGCTTTTTTCTAAAACTGAGGATATTTTTCAAGTTTTGTCATAAAATAAGTGAATTTATTCCAATCAATCCACACATTTCATAATTCTGCTCGTATCAAATAACAGATTCTTATGCCTTTAGAGGAAATCTTGTTTGAATTTAGCTTGCAGAACCTTAGCAGGGAAGGCACCCCACTACAGATTCTTTGGTCAGATGACCACTATATTGTCCTAATAATGAAATTATGCTTCATTTCCAATTTGAGCTGATAGGAAGTTAGATGTATAATATGCTAGGTGTGCTGAAATTATTCTTTAATACGCTCATGATGAGGCCATAATTTGTGTGTCTCACTTCGGGGCATCTCTGAGCCACCAGGGGAGTTGACCCATCAGGTGGGACATGCCCACATGGGGACAGTTACACACGTACCACCACTGGTTCTAGCTGGTTCTGTGAACTTTTCCAATGTCATTAACTTAAAATTTAATTTCTAATTCTGAAAACTTGAGCTTCTTTGATATCCTAAGTTAGTTATATCTTTCCCTAGAGTATGCCCAGCTCTTTGCTGCATTGATTGCACGAACCGCAAAAGACATTGATGTTTTGATAGATTCCTTACCCAGTGAAGAATCTACAGCTGCTTTACAGGTAAAAAAATCTCTTTCGTGGGTTGGGGTTGTAGCTCAATGGCACAGCACCTGCCTGGCAAGCATGAGGTCCTGAGTTTGATCCTCAGTACCAAAAAAAATTTTTTCTTTATTATTAGTAATAGAGAGTTTCTTATTACAGGAGATAGATTTGATACCTTTTGTTAAATTCAAAGTTACTTTAAGGTTAAATTTAAAAATAGGTGCCGGAGATTTAGCTCAGTGGTTCTGCTGCCTGACTCGCAAGTGCAAGATCCCAAGTTCAATCTCCAGTACCAAAAATAAATAAATATATAAATTTGAAAATAGGCATTTTGTTAATAGTGAGCTAGTATACTCTATTGAAGGTTGTGCTGAATATCTGTATCTTTATATCTATCTTTATATCTATGTCTTAAATTTAGAGCTACAAGAAAGCCTCCTATCTTCAGTTTGCCTATTTTTTTTTTTTTTCCTCTTCAGTACCAGGGATCAAACTCAGGACCTTGCACTTGCAAGGAAGGTGCACACCACTGAGCTAAATCTCTGGCCCAAGTTTGTCTATTTTCCTAGCAAAGAATGAGAGTAGGTGGCTGGACATGGTGGCACATGTAAGTAATCCTAGCACTTGGTGGGAGGCTGAGGCAGGAAGATGGCCATGAGTTCTAGGCCAAGCTGGGCTACTCATTGAGTTCAAGACCAGCCTAAACTACATAGCAAGATCCTAAACAGTATGGACGATAGTCTCCTACATATCTAGTACCTAGAGATTCCTGATTAAAAATCCCCTCTTTGTCTAGTTTATAAAAATTCATAAGTTATCCGAGTTTTAGAATTCCTGCTCCTGAAAAATATTACAACAATTTCAGAGTCATCCAGATTTAAAAATAAAAAACTCTACTGCAGTTTCTTTCCTTTTCAACTCTTAAAGAGTTTAAAATCTGTGTCTTATGAAGGCAGCCAGCTTATATAAGTTGGAAGAAGAAAACCATGAAGCTGCGACGTGCCTGGAGGACGTCGTTTATCGAGGTGATGTGCTTCTGGAGAAGATCCAGAGCGCGCTGGCCGACATCGCGCAGTCCCAGCTGAAGACGAGAAGCGGCACCCACAGCCAGACTCTTCCAGACTCATAGCACCAGGAACGCCCTGTGGTGAAGCCGAGAACTGTCTCCGTGCATTATGAATTCTGCATCAGACTGAGAAATGAGCCTTACCGAGAGTTACGGAAACATGCACTATGATTCTTGATACCTTTTTAGCTATTTTAATAACCTTCTATTTTCACTCTTGATAAAAACTTGCAAAAGTGTGATTGAGTCAGCTTTAAACCATCACTATGCTATCATTTTTTAGATCTGAATGAAATTATTAAGGCAGATATTGCATTAATGTTCATAATACAGTTAAACAGATACACTGTGAAGTTCTGTCTTTTTTTTCTTGCATGCTGGGGAATGGAACTCGGCCTAACACAAGCTAGGCAAGCTCTTTGCCACAGACTTATACCCCCAGTTCTGTCTTATTTTTGTAGTCCTTTTACAAATCATAACATCCCTCAAGCCAGAGCTACAGGATGTTTCAGTTTATGTTGGTGTTCTTAGACACGTCTTTAGAGGTAGCATTGTATAACTATGGACCTTTGAGCAAAAGTTTTTTTTGCTCTGTTGCTTTTAAGAAACATAAGGAGCCCGGGCCTGGTGGCGCACACCTGTAATCCCAGCACTTGGGAAACTGAGTCAGGAGGATCACTGAATTTGAGACCAGCCTGGGCTACACAGTGAGTTCCAGGTCAGTCTCAACTACATAGTGAGACCCTGTCTCAAAAAACCAAAAAAAACAAAAGAAACATAAGGTTAGGATGGGTAGATGAGAGTAGGTCATTTATGCAAACCTTTTCTTTTCCAGAACCTCCTATCTATTCTGGTTTACCTTGCTTTTACTTAGAAATTGTCTTGTCTGTAGAATTCCTGTGCTATTGTGAGACATTTTCTTTATCCCATATCCCAGACTATCTTTTTAATATTCTCTTCTTTGTTTTTGTGTTACTAGGAATTGAACTGACAGCCTTCACCCGAGCCCATTTTTTATTTTGAGGCAGGATCTTAAGTCACTAAGTTGCCCAGGCTGGGTTCAAACTTGTGATCCTCCTGCTTTAGCCTCCCATAGGATTGGGATTATAAGTATGTGCCACTATACTCAGTTTAATACTCTTTTTAAAACTGCTTTTTTCTATCCTTAATTTGCTTGTCACCGTGAACTGTGTTTCTTGAGTCATCAGTTCCTTACTATCTTTATCTGAAGATACTGTTTTCTGATCTCACTACCCTCTCAAAACTTTCTTGTTATATTCTAATGAGACTAGAACACACGTCTACATCAATCACTTCTATACTGATCTCTCCATTCCCCTCAGTTTTATTGCTAACATTAATGTCAGCATTATCAACTGTATTCATCCAACTCTTGAATCTCACCAGTTAACCCTGTTGGAAAGCTTAAGTTCCACACATAATTGGTTCTGTCTCCTAAAGTGCTTTTGTCCTGAGCTGCTCTTGCCACAGTCTGCTGTTTATTGTTTAAATTTCTGGAGAAGCATAAAGAACAACAGGGCACTGGGAACCTAAGGCAGGAGGATCACAAGTTTGAGCCCAACCTGGGCAACTTAGTGATTTAGGGAGACTCTGTCTCAAAAAATAAGAAAAAGGGCTGGGGATATATGTAGCTCAGTATAAACTAACAACAAAGAACAATAGAACATTTTGTATATTGTTTCCATCATAAACTGTTCTACAGTTCTTGAAAAATACTGTGTTTCAAAGTTCAGTAGCACCAGCAGTAGTTACAAAAGTTGCAGCAATTTATTGGCTAGGCTTAGATATTTGTGAACTTTTAGATTTTTTATGGCTACTGTCATTAAAGTTTAATAACATTTTGCTATCACAGACATTTGGCATAAATCCATTCCTTTCATTTGAGTGGTTATTGGAGGAGAGGAGATTTGATCAGAGAACTGCTTTTAGAAGTATATAAGGTATAATAAAGGGTCCAAGGAAGGTAATAAAGAGAAGGAAAAGTCGTTAGCTAGTTTAAAGGAAGGCTTAATATAAAGAAATCCAAAACTCAGGAAGGGGAACTTCTTCCCTAGGATTGTTGAAGCTGTGACCCCAACATAGTAAAACAAATCCCTGTTGCTTTTTTTTTTTTTTTTTAAGTACTGGGGATCCAACTCAGGACCTTGTGCTTGCAAGGCAGGTGGCGGAACCACTGAGCTAAATCCTTGCCCCCTGCCTCTTTTTTTTAGCTCTCCACTCATTGCTTGGCTTGGGTGTAGCCACAGTTGATGGAAGTGTGTGGCTTAGCAGGGTAACAAAAGCCTCAGTTTTTTAGCTGGAGGATTGCAAGTGAGCCTCAGAGATCTTGAAGTACTAGGAGATTGAGGAGAGGCAGGAAGTTGGGTGAGTGACCCCTTAAAGTTGTTCCTGAATACCTCCTCACCTGGCTGTGTGTGTGGCTGCACTCTAAATAGCATGCAGACTTTGAGAAATGGACTACGAGAGAGGCAGCCAGCCAGGTCCGACACTGGTCTCTGCATGGCACACACAGGAGACATCCTAACAGCAAGAGAAAGGTTTTGAAAGTCGAATTTACACCAGAAACAACCCACCTTTCAGTGCTTGGAACTTGTGGCCTGAGTCCAACAAACCTGACTGCCTGCTAAAATAAACATTTGAATTGTATATAGGATGAAACAAGGCCCAGAAGTTCATATATTCAAAATGCCAGGTATGTAATCCAAAATCGCTTGGCATACAGATAACTGGAATTTTCAGAATTAGCAAGCATAGGAAAAGACAACTGGTTCATAGCAAAAACCCCAGATCATGTATGTAACAGGCTTCAAGATGATTACTGTAAAAATTATCCAAGATAACAGTGAATACTTTTGAAGTTATCTGAAAGTTTCAGCAAAGAAATAGAAGGTACAAAGACTGACCAAATGGAAATTTTAGAACTGAAATATTTAGTAATAAATACACAGGGCAAGTGCAGTGTAGATGAAAGGAAGTCAGCTAGCTGCAGGACAGGTGACTGACGATTACCTGATCTAAACAACAGACTGACCTGAAGAAAAAGTGACCGCCTCAGGGACCCAGAGGACAATGAGAATATCTAATATCCATGTGTGAGTAAAAAGTACGGGGTTAAACAGTATTTGAAGAATAAACTGGTGAAAGTAAAGCTGTACATATTCAAGCCCAGCAGACCTCAAGCAGAAAAATAAAGCTACCCCCAGACATGTCACAATCAATTTTCTGAAAAGATAAAGGTACTGAAAACAACCACAGAGAAACAACACATTGTCTGTATGAAAATAATGAGTAAAAGACAAGCATATTTCTCACCAGAAACTGAAGGTCGTGAAGCCAATAGATAGGGGAGGTTAGGCAGATAGGCACAGCTCCTGAATAGTAGACCTGAAGTACGCTAAAAAGTCAGGGTTTAAGTGAGTTAAATACCAAAGGGTCCAAGTAATTAACAAGTCAGCTGACCATCAAGGCCTAGGAATGCAAGGGGACAAAAGAATAGGTCCTTCCCCAAATGAGAGACCCTGAAAGAAATGAAAGGCAAACTAAGCAGTTTGCTTTCTGGGCTACCTGCAAACAGGCACATCCCTGCTTTCTGTCAGGTACACCAGTCCCCAAAAACTGTATAAGAGCCCAGTAGACCTTAGCACGTATGGTTTTACCCCTCCTTGATGAGTGAGGAGCTCTTTTCTTTTATTCTATTGAATAAACACATTTGGCCATTTCCCACCACTTCCCACATGGTTTGTTGGCTTCAATCTTCACTGAACAAGGACCCAATAGCTAGAGGGAGCTGGTTTCAATCAGAAGTAGCATTACATTTAAGGGTGGGGGCAGAGGGGAAGGAGAGAAAAGCAAACACTTGTCAACTCAGAAACATCTAGGAAAAATACCCTTTAGGAATGAAGGTAAGATCAAGATTTTTTTCAGATGAAGGAAAACCAGCAGAACTCATTACCAGCTGACCTGCTCTAAAAGAAATGTTGAAGGCAGCTTTTCAGAAAGGGAAGGGTTAGAGTAGGAGTAGCCGGAATGAGGAATGCATGATGGAAAAGTAAGTATAACAGACTTCTTGAGGTTTTAAAAATTACTTTTGATGGTGGATAAAAAAATTAGCATTGTTTCATATGATTCTTGGTCTATGAAGAGTATGAAGGCAGGAGAATTAATCTAAATGGTAAGATTTCTACATACCGCTTTAATTCACTTTTTGGTGCTGAGGATTGAACCTAGGGCCTTGCAATGTGCTAAATATGCATTCTGTCACAGCACATGTTTTAAAAATGGTAAACAATATTAATAGCAGTAGGCTATGAGTATTCCTTAGAGCAATGACTTTTTAAAATACTCTACACAGATTTTTTTTTTTTAAAGGTTCAAGTAACAGGACAGTAGGAAATAAACAGAAAAATGAGAAACAAAATATAGATGATAAAATAGCTCTAAATTTTTTCCTAACATACCAATAATTATGTTAAATGCCAATGTTGTAAACTGTTCAAAATCTATATCGGTTGGCTTTTGTTGTTGTTACTTTTTTTTTTAATCTTTATATAAGTTCTCTACCACTGCATTACTTTCTCAGCTCAGTAATTTACCCAGGCTGCTTCTGATAATTTAAATCACTTTTACCATAGATCTATTTACTACAGCAAGGGGACATTAATGTCTTTTAGTCCAGTGACATCAGGAAAAAACCCTTCAGATTTCTACCCTTAAGGTTCTGTGTCTCTGCTACCAAAATTATCAGTGAGTCGGGATCAATGGAGTGTAGCGATGAAAAAAAGCACGTTTGTAAATATTACAGGAATAAAGGATTTGCTCAGCAGATGTGGGAGGAGCTAGGGAAGTGCAGGACTGCCAGGAAGAAGTCAGAAGAGCAAAAACCAGTTACTGAAGAAGTGGCTCCTCCGAGCTTGTGAGAGAGTGTGGCCACCAGAGTGAAGAAGAGGGGAAGCTGATAAAGACACTTGTGAAAGTGGCTGCTCTGAAGACACCACTGCCTCTTTATTTGCCATGAAGCCAAGTCCTTAATGGTCTCTAGGGTTGGAAATTGGAAAGATGAGAGGAAAGAGAACAAGCTGTGGCCTTTCAACTTTCTTGTCTCCCGGTGTCTGCAGCCCATGCATTCTGAGAGTACTGACTGATGCTTCCTTGTCACTGGATGTCATGATTTTCCTCCACTGGCCCACTTTAATCTGGAGCCATTCAGGGAAGAGCCTTGGAAACATGAAATATATGTAATGCCCGCAAATGTATGTATATTAGTGTGCACGCTTAAATTACATTTATAGAATTTCTGTGTGTGCGCACACGCGTGCCTGGGGATTGAATCTAGTGCCTCACACCGTGACTCAAGTGCTTAACTACTGAGCTACGTCCCCAGCCCTTTATTTTTTATTCTGAGATAGGGTCTGGCTAAGTCGCCAAGGCTGGCCTCAAACTTGTGATCTCTCTGGCTCAGCTTCTCAAGTAGCTAAAATTACAGTTGTGCACCACCATGCCCAGCAGACATGTGGTTAAATGATCCTCTGCTTAAGACTCAAATAGATGGGGCTGGGGATTTAGCGCAGTGGTTCCCACAGCTGCTTTGCAAGCACAAGGACCCGAGTTTGATCCTCAGTAC